CCCTGGAGGCATCCAGCTCTGAAAATGATCCTTTATAGTAAGAACTGTGACAAACTAAGAAATAATTTTCCAGATTACTGTATTTCTCTTTTTAATTACCATGGCAAAAATAAAGAAAAATAAACCGCTAATGCAAGTGGACATTGAGATGCACTAGATACCTCTGAAGTGATGTATTGTAGTTATGCCCCACAAATTCAATTACCTGTAAAGAGTATTTGGTCACAGATTGTGGCTCCTGTGCCTGTCTCTGATAATTTAGCTGCAGTCTCATGCAACAATAATGAACTTTTTTGGCTTTTTGTTCCCTCTGAAGTGTAGGCTGTTCCCATAGGAGTTCTTTTTCTTTACAAATTGCGCAGTTATTTGATCATTGACACTGCCACTGATTTGTGGCATAACAGGACGATTAGGTATATTGGCAGAGTGTCTCGTTTACAGAGAGGCAACAAACCTTTTGTCTCTTTTCTTTTGTATGATTTTCCACGTCTGGCTTTTATACTTTGCTGAGCTCATGTTAGCAGTTGACCTGCAATGTGGAAATGCAGGAATGTTTCATAATGGCTTTAGGCAAACAGAAGAATCATCAGTATATGCAAAAGCAAATTAATTTTTCCGTTCTCTGAGAGAATAAAATAGCGGCTTTGCAGCATCTCGGTTGGAGCCTTCCTGAAACGCTCACGGCCCGGCATAACTGCTTGCAGAGAATTGTCCAAGTCGGCAGTTTAGGGAAGAAGACACAGACGGTTTATACCACTTCCCAGATGGAAAGTTCTCCAGAGACTGTTGAAACAATCAGTCGATGTTTCTGGTTTTATTCCGAAGCTGAATGACTTGAAAAGGTGGCTGTAATGCTAGCAAGTCACAGTGACAAGTCTGTGAACTTCTCCAAAGCAGCTGGCATCACTATTTCCGAAAGGGAGCTTATGCAGGGGCAGAGGGAGAGGAGTGTACAGGGTAGAGGGGTTTCACACATAATTTTCTCTCTTTCTGCCATGGTTTTATGTGCATGTGTGCGCATGTGCATCTATAAAACATTATATCTGAATTTTTCCCTTATGAAAGCTTTGCAGCCATATTATAGATTAATGTGATCAAATTAATGACTACATTACAAGTATTGAAGACTTGTATGTCATTTATTCAGTGAGGAGGTAAACAGTTTCTCTGTTTTCATACTCAAGTTATTCCAGTGTTTCTCCTACAGTGTCTTTGGCTTTCTATAGAGTTAAAAAAGCATTTCTTACTCTGTTTTCTAAATCTACTTGTTTCTTTTAGATTTTTGTTTTGGAATGGATGATGAAAACTATTATAACTAAGAAGTTTGTTGTAAATCTGGGTTTCATAAAACAAGTCCTTGTAGTTTCCCTTGACAGTTAACTAAAAAAATTCCAAGGAGAAATGTTTAGAGGGATTTTTGTAATATGGTGAATGATCAGTAACATCTTCTTAGATTCTCTCTGGCATTGAATAGACATGAATTTGAATTTTTTATTATTTTTTCTAAACGGCCCCACGGATTGCCCAGCCAATCCACATTGAAAGCAATAAATCTGGAATGTACTTTTACGTTGAATATCAGCGTCTCACAGTATACTATCTGCTAGCCTGGAGTCTCACCTCCACCAGACAGGCTCACTACATGCTCAAAATAATCTCCCTGCTAACTTGAACAGTCACTCGGGCAGTCACCTTGGAATCATAGCACACCCAGGTGTGCCTCTCCTGGGAGAGGCGTACAAATTACAGGGATAATTTGTGCAAAGAGCTTTTAAGTGCAAAGAGCTATTGCTCTGTGTACAGCCAGCTGCAGGTGACAGTGAATTTAGCTGACAGGTAAATACACGGGTATTAAAAAGGAAGCTTAGAAACATTAATTTGGGTTTTTAATAACATCCTTTCCATTTAATATCTCATTAAAATCAAGCTATAGGAAAGAAAGTATTTTTCAGTACATACTTTCAGTTGAAGTCACTGATCATTAAGATTTATCTTAGTTTCACGTCTAATGGTTCTTCCTCCAAGATGAACCCATATGCTGGTTCTAGAGAAAAGACTAGAGAAGAGGGCATAGAGTAAGATCAATCAGGAATCTCAGTGCAACTTGTTTGTTTTCTCTCACCTTAGGGCTATTCATTGCTTTGCTGCAGAAAACGATGGCACATTTACATTTTAGACACATTACATTATTGTGCTCAGTGATGCTGACAACCTCACGTCCCATTAACCTGAGCAGAAGAGTTATTGTAACCGTTACCACTTTTGTCTTAACAAAGTCTTCATGCTCTGTCCAGCTGGCTGATTTTTGTTATGCATTGCTATTATAGGGGAGGAATAATCAAATAATATTCTTTACATGCTGGTTTCTTTTCCTTTCTCCTGATTTTCCCTGAATGACGTGACCTGGAATAAATATGAACTCCAAATAGTGCACCACTGCAGACCTTGCCTGCCTCCCTATCTACTGTTGTTACTATGAAACATGTTCTGGCTTTTGTTGTGCGGGCACCTGTCTATAGGAAAAACTTTGAAGGGAGTACCTCAGCTGCAGTAACTGGGGGACATATGCAGAGATTAAAGAAAATCTAGTGACAGTGAAGTGTATTTTCCTTTTTCTAATGCTTTATTTCATGGAATTTGTTTTCCTCCCTTTCAGTATATGGAGAATCACTGTTCCCATGTAACTGTTTTCTAAGGAAGGTTTGTGCAAAGAGTAGGGTTGCCATGACCTGAAAATGCTGAGGCCTGTGTTATCCTCATTTCTGTTATTGAAGTATTTCAAAAGCTAAGGGCTTCCAGAACTTTATCTTCACCTTCCAAGTCTGATCAGAGGATAAGCATCCATGCCATGGCACTGAGAGGCTCTCCTGCAATAAATTCCTTGAAAATATTAGTACTACGAACATGAATGAGGACTTCTTGAAAGTTCAGTGGGAAGTTCGGGATATAGGAAGGAATGTATGCCTAGAGAATTGCTTGTTTTGAAGTGGACTGCACTAAGTAAGGCTGCACATCCTGTACATCCAAATATCTCCAGTTTGGGAATATCCGTAGTCTTGAAAACCACAAGGTCATGGGTTTAATGTTACTTGCATTTTTCCAGCTTCCATGATTTCAGTGTTTGTTATTAAAGAAACAACGTTTACCTCACAGTGTGGACCAGAAGCAGTAGATGCAGTTCCACAGTGCAGAGTTGCAGCTTCTTAATCACCTAAAAATGGACAGTGGCATGCATCCAGTTTTGTAATCTTTTCCATGTGAAATGGCACACGATTTGATAATATCTCCTCATGTGACAAAACAAAGTTATTTGACTAATATTACGCTATATAATATGATGCAATATATTACGTTAAATTATATTTTTTTAACAGAAGGAGCTAAGACTCATGAAATATTTCCAAATGAATTCAGATGATTTGCGTATGGGATATCATCACTGAATGTTCTCTTTCTGGGATTCTCTTAAGGTAGTTAGCTGTATATATACAAGAGGTTTGTATTTACATGAGGAATATATACCTCAAATACAGTAATTATTTCTTTTAAGTTGATACACACACCCAGAGTTAAATTAGAAGCTGCATAAGAATAGCAGCTGCGATATCCCACCGATCACTTCAGATAGAAAAAATGCACCTTCCTTAAAACCAGAAAACACTTCCCACAAAATTATCTGACTCTGTCATTCCACTTCATGTTGTTGTATTCAGTATTGTTTGATAAAACTTCACACATACATTTATTACTGTAAGCCCTAATAAAACAGACTTTAACACAATTGTTCACTTTCAAGCTTACAGGGACAGTAAATTGAGTACAAATCACAGGATCACAGAATGGCTAAGGTTGCAAGGGACCTCTGGAGATCATCTGGTCCAATCCCCCTGCTCAAGCAGGGACCTCTAGAGCACATTGCCCAGGACCCTGTCCAGACGGCTTTTGAATATCTCCAAGGAAGGAGACTCCACGACCTCTCTGGTCAACCTGTTCCAATGCTCTGTCACCCTCACAGTGAAGAAGTTTTTCCTCAGGTTCAGATGGAACTTCCTGTGGTTCAGTTTGTGCCCGTTGCCTCTTGTCCTGTTGCTGGGCACCACGGAGAAGAGGCTGGCCTCATCCTCTTGACACTCCCCCTTCAGATACCTGTACACATTGATGAGATCGCCTCTCAGTCTTCTCTTCTCCAGACTGAACAGGCCCAGCTCTCTCAACCTTTCTTCCTAGGAGAGATGCTCCAGTCCCCTGATCCCCCTTCCCAGTCCCCCCCATCTTAGTAGCCCTCTGCTGGACTCTGCAATAGCGCCATATCTCTGGACACAGTACTCCATTACACTTGGCCGACCAAGTTTGTCCTGCGGCCAAGGGGTAAGTGCAGCACAGCACAGGGCTGAAGGACAAGCTGTACCTACAGTGTATAGTGCAACATCTCCTCAGGTGATACATGGATCACTAATTCCTTGGCGTACAATAGTCCTTCCATAAGGGCAAGTGTCAAAACCAGAAGCATAGCTGTCCTCATTTTTCCTTCCAAACAAGGTGGCAATCACAAGAGAAATTATGAAAGTGCTTTCATATTTTTAGACTGAATGGTTCATATGATAGTAACAGGAGAATACTCAGAGCTCTTGAACATGTTTTGTAATACACATCTTGTAATGTAAATGTTGTGGTTTTAGCAGTGAACAGACATCATTACATGTTATAGAGGAATTGCTGATGCAAAGCAAGTGGTCTGCACACTTGGACTGTATAGGTGTAACCAGGTGTGCTAGGACTAAAGTTAATTCATCATTTAATATTTTTGCCACCATAAAAAAAACTGTGGATTTCCAAGTTAAGTGGTTACCTAGTGTCAATACAATTATTTCCTCTCTTTGACGTTTAGATCCACACGCTTCTGCCACCCCTTACTCTATATCTATTAGAACCCCAGGCTCCTTGCTTTTTGTAATGGATTTTCCACTTTCCTCCTCATGCTCTTTCCTATGTCTTTACAGTGGTCAGTGTATATCCGTGCTGCTGTCCGCAAAGAAAAAGGATTGCCGATACTGGTGGAACTGCTTCGAATAGACAATGACCGGGTGGTATGTGCAGTTGCTACAGCTTTACGAAACATGGCCTTAGATGTCAGAAATAAGGAGTTAATAGGTATGTTCTTTTCAAACGATCTATATATTCTGTGGGGGTGGGGATTCTGGTTTACAGCAGGATGAGCACAATGAAAACTATTCTTCTTTCTAGCAGAATTTCTTTACAACATTTTTGATGTATCCTATTAGTATTTTATGTGACAGCTCAGTGCTATATTGCAAAGAATTGTGTTCCAAATTCATTAAACATCATGCAACATTTTATGATTTGTCGTACTGTTACCTCCAGAAGAAAGGCAGTGGCTTTGGTTCTGCTTCAACAGTTAAAATATGGCCTAAATTTTTTAAATTAAGACTGAAATTTTTCCATGGGCCATGTTCCGTTCGTAGGCTGGTAACAGAGCAGCGCTTGCATCTATCGGTTCAAGGATCTAAGCAGGGGCAGCACTCCTGATCCTCAAATAATATTGGGGAATATGAAGTGCCAAAACATAGAAAACTTTGAAGATGGTGCCAGGAATTTACTGGACAGCTTAGCGGCTCCAGCGAAAGAACTGTGAGATAGTTAATTCACAAATGCATGTGCATTTATGGAAGAGAACAGTAACTCACATTAATTGTTGTTGTCTCTGAATTCTAATGGAATAGTAAGCAAACTTCTTGGGTTTTCTGTTTTTGTTTTTTATTTTTATCTTTAGCTGAAACTCATTCAAACAATACGGATCATTGGGTTTTTATTTTCGTATGCTGTCTTTGAAAAATAATCACCGCCTTTGTTTTGGATTATTTAAACAGGCTCGACAAAATTATTTCTTGCTTCCTCTGTGCATTCAGAGTTTATTTTTATTCATATGTGCTGACTTGTTAATTTGTTATCATTACAGCATACTTATGCTTCTCTGCTTTTAATTACAGAAATCCACAAGTAGATACTTTGATCTTAACGCTTTACTATTTGTATCTGAGGGCTAGGGCTTTGTTACAGCAGCGCCATGCAAATCATTAAGACAAAGCAATCGCTCCCCTCATCTATTGTACAGGCTAGAGAGACTTCCCTGACAAGAGGTTGTAGAGCAAAGATTGGCAAGTCTTGTGAGCCTGATGTGATTGCTGAGGAGCTGAGCTCAAGTTTGCTGCTCTGCCTGCAAGACCAGCTGACGTGTTCAGCATTTGCTTGTGTTGTAGCTGATAGAACTGACAAGAGATTGGGTTGTTTGCGTATTGTGGTCAGCTTTCAGGAAGCAGGATGCTGCATATGTGTTCTTCGTGTTCTTTGTTGTTTTCTAGCAATTTGAAAGTAGGCATAACCGTTGCAGAAAGTATATCAGACTATCTAACTGCACAAACAACAGACCATTCTTTTTTTGTTTTTGTTTTTCTTAGGATCCTACCTCTGTTTTCAGTCTTCAGTATGTCTTAGTCTCTATTATTTAACATCTTATTCCTTCATTTATAGGAGTGCCTCTGAGGGGTTCAGCATTCACATTTTAGGAGCTTTAATACAGTACCTTCATACTGAGTTTTCTATAATATCTGTTCTCCCTACTTATTGACATTATAAAAAACTTTATCTTGAGTTTACTCATTTTGGCTGTGGTTTGTAACGTCATGCATTAGACCATCTGTTTTGTTGCCTTTTCTGTGCTCTGATTTTTTTCAATTGAAAATTTTATTTTCTTCCCAAACATGCACATATCATTTAAGGCAGTAGGGCTGCACATGTGGAGTAGATCTGTCTTTTAATAAGATGTGCCATACACAATGCTTTGGTAAATTATTGATAATAAGACATAGCTTGCATAAGCTCCAACTGTTACTATTTTGTGGAATTTTCAGAAAACATGCAGTATAAACAAATATGAATTTTAAAAAGGTGGAAAAAGTCTATTGAAAATAATTACCTAATAACATTTTTATGTAGGCAATCTGTAAGGGCCGTGCAATGCTGCTCGAATTTAAGGTATTTGTGGGATGAGTCTGGGAAGTTGTACTTCATAACTGCAATGCAAATTTGCTGCAGGTTGAAAAAAGCATGATTTTGCCAATAAGATAGGAAAGGAAGGTATGACTGTAATTCCTGAACCATCTTTATATGTTCATTTTTTGGCTTTCATCATTTAACTTGAAACAAGTAGCAATAGTGGTCACTATTCCTCTTGTTCCCGATTTTTTACAAGTATATCATAGCTATATCATAGGTCTGATTCTCAGAAGTGCTGAGCATCTGCAGCTGTCAGGGCTTTCAGCTTATGTTGTAGGTGGTCTTTTTTTATGAACATTAACGTTCCGCATGTTTTAAGATACCTTAATTGTTATTCTGGAAAGGAAGACAGAAAGGTTGATGTTAGGCATTTAAACATCCTTCTGCCTAAGCAGAATCGTCATCCTGTTTATCTTTCCTCACTGCAGTTTCTACTTGTGAATCATGTGCTTGCAGTGACAAACTGCCTCACAAACCTGCAGTTTTCCCTTTTAGATAAAATTTTTAATGTGAATTGTCCATCTGTGTATGTTGTAAAGATTATGTAAGTAGAATTGCATTTTTTTAAATAAATCTGTAAGGCTTCCTTTTCCATGATGCTCTGGTTCCATTCCCAGCTGACAGCTTTCTACTGAAATACGCCACAGAATGAAATGCTTCTTTCTCATTCTGCTTCTCTCAGGCAGCCCATAAATCAGTTTTGAGACATCTAGCAACATATCAGCCTGCAAAAGTCTGGACTTACCTATACCAAACTACAAAGCAAAAAAATAAAAAGACCCTTTTTTTAAATGACTAAAATTTTCTTTCTTGACTTTGTCCAATTGACCAAACTGTTTTGTTTTCTTCACACAGATTGGTTACATATATTGTTATATTGCTGAAGTTTGGTGCCAGACTTGACTTCTCTGATAGTGTTTCTGAGCCATCCCCATGCAGCGTTTTCCTCTTTTTTAGTGAGGTCTTCTTCCTGGATTTCTTTTAAGAGTGTATTCTGTATGTTTAATGTAACCCGAAGGTCTCCTCCTTGTTCCTTTTCTTCTCCAGCCCTTCTGAACTGTGCCAATGTGTTCTCTGGTTGGAGGCTGAGATAGGGGGCGTATTCATCTTTCTCCTTTCCAAAACTGAATCCCACTTAGACCAAGTGTGATGAACTTGACCTGTTTAGGACTGACACTAGGTAATCCACGCCTGATTTTCCTTCCTTGCACTTACTGCCCAGGTGCTTTCCTTGTTCAGATCACATTCATTTTCTGCTCACGTTTCAGTGCCCTCATCTTTATGAAATAATACCCATTCTATGTTGCTTCCCAGCCACATCACAAAGTACACCCCATGGGAAGGATTGGCAATCTTCTGTGTCTCCCAGCAGTGAGTGCCACAGCTGTGGGAAGTAGCTCTGTGGGTCCTGAAAGGGGTTGGCAGCTGATACTACCTTTCTCTGGTTTCAGCAGTCTAGGCTGCACGAAGCCCCTGTGTCCCTTCAGTACCCCAGCATCTTCCTGCCTCTTTTTGCATGTTCTGTAAGCATTTTGGAAGGGCCAGCTTCCCTCTCTTTCACCCAGGTATATTTGTCTCCCTTGCTCCAAGATACCTTCCCCACAAAAACCATTTCAATTTGATTAGAAGACTATACTTCAAGCAACATTGCCCTGGGCTTTTCTGAAATTTATGGGCCAGGCTTCCCTCAGTTCTCTGGCATCTACCTTAATGGGATTTCTTGATCTGTACTTCAAGCAACACTGTTCTGGGCTTATATAAAATTTGTTGGCCAGGCTTCCCTTAATTTGCAGTAAACCTTAACGTTTTCTAGTATATTAAGTAAGCCTTCTGTAGTAACTGATTTAAGCACCTCATCTTTTACCTAACCTTATTTTCATTCAGGAGGCTATCTCAGTCTTAGTGAGAGAGGCAGTATTAAAACTAGGCACTTGATTGTCTTCCTGGGCTCTCAAAACCCTCTTCCGTCTCCTGTGAGCTTCATGTCTGTGCTGCAGGACTTTTCTTTTCTTGCTCAAATCTTTTGGTACCCAATTCCAGCTACAGTGTCTCTAGAAATGCAGCCATTCTCTTACGCTGTCTAGCAGGTTTGACGTGGGTCTTGGCAGCTGGGCTCCTGTGCTGGCTGACTCCTCCCTTGAGGATGGGTTCATTGCTTGAGACCTCTGCTAAGGTTGTATCTCTGCTGAGTTCTTCTATGGAGCTCCCCACAGCCGCACTGGAGGCTTCTGAGTTGGGAGAAAATTAGACTTTATTAGCTTTGATCATTCACTTAGATTAAAAGATTCACTTTTGTCCGACAGCTCCTCCAAGGACTTTGTTAACAACCTCTAAGCTGTTGTGTCATCCTCCTGTTCCTTCCTTCCTTCCTTCCTTCCTTCCTTCCTTCCTTCCTTCCTTCCTTCCTTCCTTCCTTCCTTTAAAAAAAAGAGAAAAAGTGGAATAACAGCCCAAAATTTCTGTGTCTCTCAGCATTCTAAATGTCTTAATTTGAGGATATAGCAGTATTCTCCCTCCTGTAGTAGTTTTTTGCCTCAGGATCACGGGCAGACCTGCTGCTTCTGGCAGTGCCAAGGAGGCCGATGCCTCGAGCTGCAGCTGTCCCACCTTTTTCCCTAAAGTGAGCCATGCTGGCCAACTTCCATTCTCTAAAGCCAGGCTTTATTAGAACACTGTCAAAAAATTGCTAACTTAGAATAAGGTGTTTTTCTTTAAACAGAGGAAACTTGGATTAGCTGGGTGAGGCAGAAATGTAACAGCATCCTTGCGGGATGAATTATTTCTAAAAACTTTCCATTGCTTTCTGATTTAAACACCTTCCATACAGTCTTCTTAGGTCTCTAGGAAAATCTCTCTATCACCTGAGCTTTCACTGTGGATCTCTATCCTACTATAGACAGACTTTCTTCCTCACTGGTCTCCCACTTAACATTAGTGCAGCAGACTCCCTTTTTCCTGTGTCTCTTTTCCTGCTTTGTGTGCAAGAAGGTTTTCCAAACTGAGATATTCCGTTCAGTCTTGGGGATCAAGCCATCCTCACCTTTCCTCTAAGTGATACACGGTTGGCAGTTTTCTTC